TATACTGCTGGTATAATACCTTTACTGTATAATTTATCAGTCATATGTTAGTCCAACCCTAAAGTGCACACAGTTGTTCATCTTTTACTCTAGACAAGAGTAGCGTTTTAGAAATTCAACTCAAACTGCGTGATTTAAAACGATAGTTATGTTTGTTTGTTTTTTTTAAAAGTAGGATCTTGTGAAAATGTTATGAACAAATGACACCCTGCCTGTTACTGATAGCTCTTTAAACGTCCTCAGTTTGGAAAAATACTTAAATTCTCCCTTGATTGATGAGCTAACGGCTAGTCTGAGCAGGACCAAGGCCAAATTAGATGGCGGTCATCTTAAAACCAATCCAATCTACTCATGCAAACATTGTTCCGTTAGCTTTTACACTGCTGTCAGTTTTGTATTTCAGTTAATCCAGCCGTAACTTTGATATTCCTGCTGAACGTACCACAGGCTGCACCAGAAGGGCTACAGCTAGCTGCTGTCGCGCTGCTTGAGCTTGTAAATAACCATGTAACTCAAACCTTTCAGAGGTGTAAAGGTTTGCAAAACCTTTTTTATGAATCTCTATGAATTTTTTGAGACTGAGGTAGTTTCAAGCTGTTGTTTTAGTCAGAATTGAACTTTATTCCGACGTACTGAGGCTGTTGAAAGAGCTATCAGGTGAGATGTTGAATGTTCGGGACCTTTCTATAGATTTCAACTTCAAACAGCCAAATTATTGCTTTTTTCAATTCAATTCAAAAATACTTTATTAATCCCAAAGGGAAATTATTTGTTGTTAACTCGTTATCCTCATTTCATGAAGAGATGTTATAGATGCTGATGGCTGCTGATGGCTTTTTAGTTCAGTTCCTGCTATTTATCCTTTGTGCACAGTCTGAGTTGTACATTCACAGTAAATGTTTGTAGCTAGACTTCCACAATACGCCGACTGTCAAGTCAGAAAACTAAATTCTGGGCAAGTTTGGAATTTCCAGCAGAAAAAAGTCTTAAGATGTGTGTTACTGTAGGTGAGAGACTACGGGCTGGTTTCCTCGTGTCAAATATTCAACCAGCTCTAACGTGAAATCTGTTTAGTAAAACACAAACATCACGTCCGTGCACTTATGCAGCTGAGAACACATTTTCGGGACCCTCTCTTAATATTTTATCATTTTTAGCTTCTGCGTCGCAGCAGGCTATCCCCTCTGGGTCTGCGATCCTGGTCAACATCCTGCAGAAGATCCCAAAGAGCAGGCGCTTCAAGAATCTGATGTGGGAGACGACTGCGAAGAGGAGGCTGAAGACGTCGCTCCGTGTGCCCTTGATTTATCGACTGTACAAAATGAGGAAGGCGCAACTTGTAAAAGCCAAGTAAGATGAGATTTTATTCTTTTTTAACACTTGAAGCTACTTTTTAGTTGTTTTTTTTTTCTTCCAAGCAGTTTGTCTCCAATATGTTTAGAATTTATCTTTAGCAATAAGCCACAATAGTTGCTAACCCAAAATGTGCTTTTTGTGTTCATTTTTCTGTTTTGTTAGCAAAATATCTTGTGAATCACTGAACAGGTTTTAATGAATCGCACCAAAGGATGACTCGTCAACAACTGCTTAACTTTTGGAGTCAAACTGATTCAAGATGGCCTCCGCAGCTGACCTAAAGAGAGCTAAAACCCATTCCAAATGTACAGTTTAGCGTGGTAGTAGTTGAGAGTCCTCCTCAACACATACTCTGATTGTTAAATGAGCTGAAATGGAGCCAAAACAAGAGCAGCGTGTATCGATAAAGAAAATAAACATCGGAGAAATTAGCTCATAACGTCAAAAAAATTTAAACAAATGCACCACAAACAACCGGAAGTAAACTCCAGTTGAATCTTGAAGTGTTGAACTTCTGCGTGTGTGTTTAAAGTCAGAGGCTGTACACGATTGATCTGTTGGACCGGTACCGAGAAGCTCTGGAGACGGCGGTTCAGATCTCCTGTCGCTACAATGTGCCCCCCCTCCCTGGAAAAACCATCATCATGCTCAGCTGTAACATCAGAGAGGACGAGTCCTGGAGCAAGAAGCAGGACTTCTGTCTCCCTGTAGACCCGGTTCAACAAGACCAGGAGGACAAAAAAGAGGAGAAAGAACCTGAGACCATTTCTCAGAGGTGGAAAAAGAAGCAGGACGAAGACCGTGACCGCCTCACTCCCACTGTGAGTTTATATATTCTCAGAGGGGAAGGTGGGCTTATAGAAACCACATGAAATCATAATCATAAATCCTTTCCAGAGGATGGAGGTAGCAGCTCTGCTCGCTCTGATGATCAGCAGCAGCGCAGAGGATCATCAGCTCTGCTTGAACAGCTACAGCCACAGTAAGGAGGTCCAGCTGAAGTCCAACGTCCTTTTGGACAACGTTAAAAGTCTGATGAAGGAAGTGAAGGTGGGCTTTTCCTCTTTTGCGTTCCTGGTTATCAAAAGTGTTTTAATTTTAATGTCTATAACAAAACTTTTAGTTAAATGTGCTGTGATTTTACCAAAGTTGTCTCTCATACTGGCTAAAGGTGTGTGTCCACTTTGCATGCAGTATTTGTAAAACATACTAAATGTGCAGCAAGTCATTTTTAATTGGTCTCACAAAAATCTAAAAATTACAGAAAATTTTAATATGTAATTTGTAAAGATTAAAAAAGCCTAGTTAAAATTATGAATTAGAAGAAAAACATTTACCTGGTAGTGAGATGTCAAATTGTTTCTTGTGTGCCCCTTCCCACACAACAACAACAATAATCATTGAGTATCCCTAGTATGCATTTCTGCCCTTGGAGTTTATTTTGAAAGGATTTTAAAGTGGGAATCACGGCCATGGGTGAGCTCAGCTTTGCTGCCAGAAAACAATTTGAATATTCAATGACAAATTGAAAGAGCATTTTTGCTTGCAATGCCCATCCCTATTTCTTATTGTGCCACTTTTCTTGCCGTAGTCTCACAGTTTTCCTTCCTGCATTACACTCGGAGAAAAACTTCTATAAGAACACAAGATATGTTGGAAAGACATCCATCAGCGTCTGCAATAAGACGATACAGATGTTTTTTTTTAGTTCCGTTTCTCTTTTGTTGCTGTTGTGAGCTGGCATCAAAGCAAACGACGCTGACAGACTGAATACGCTGATAAAAAAAAAAAATCGATTGTCAGCTCCGAGCTTGACACCGTTGAGGAGTTGGAGCTTCTGAGCTGCATTAAGAAATTGCTCCTCTTTGCCCCTATTCTATTTTACTGACCACTAACCAAACCCAACTATTCTCATATGCAGGGCTTAATTTGTAAACCAACTGATGCACCACAAATAGTGGGCGAGCCGTGGGGGGTGATTTTGAATAAAGTAAATGTGATTTCAGCATTTTGGCGTATTTTAACAGGTTGTTAAACATCTATGCTTACCTACAATTTTTTTAAGGGTAGATTTGGAAATGCTACTTGAAGGGGCAGCTTGTAAGTGGCTGTTGTGCTTAAAATTAGTTTTTATGTAATTATTTTCAGTTTACACACCCAATGCAGTCCTATTTGTTCATAACTTTATTATTAGTAAGCCTGAAAGAAACCGGATCCAAGCGAACAGTTACCGGAACGTACCCTGTCAAAACGAGAGTTCCCGGATCCTGTTCTGGCAGGATCCTGCTCATATTAAGCCCTGCTTATATGGCCATTGTTGTAATTGTTAATGCTGTTGTCCATGCATGGCCGCTCCTGTTTTGCATTTTCTTTTTTGTGCTTTTATGCTACTCTTTTGTGAAGTACCTGCAACCAAGTTTCGTTCTGGGAGTAACAGTGTTATTTATCAATGTATTTACTAATATGAATAAGATTATTATTGATCAGTGGTGTCCAGTCCTAGTCCTACCTCTTCAGCATGTCTTCAAGTTCTGAAGAATTATGTTACCCATGCATTTAAATCGCTTTTTGAAACGGATCAATATCTAAAATGTTGATGTTGGTGCCCTCAAGGTCTAAGATTGGATCCCACAGTTATGGAGGTAATGTTAAACTAGCAGATGTGATTTGGGCTTTATTATTGAACCTTTTTTTGTTTTTGTTGTTTCCACAGGCATTTAACGAAAATTCAGATGAATGTGATGTTGATATGTATTACAAAATATTCTCCAAGAAAAACAAGGTAAGTTTATCCTACATTTATTTTGTTTGATTTTTATTTGTTTAATTTTTATTTATTTTTTGACCAGACTGAGATGGTTTGGACCTAACCCTGAGCTGAACCTGTGTACAGTGTTCTGTTATTGGACTTTTTACTAGGCTTAAGAAACTCCATGTTTGAGTGTAGAGTGGCCCAGAAGTGTTGTTGGTACCAGGCTACACTAGGCCAAAAGTTCCATCCATGCGTTGATTATCTGTTACTTGTTCCAGAGTCAGTTTGTCAGCAGCTTGAGTCAGTCAGTGTTTTTATTGTTGTGCCAACGAGATTATGTAAACAGGGTCCCAGTTACATCCCACAATAAAATGCAAAAGATCAGTAATAAGATCTAAGAGACAAACAAAAAAAAAAAAAAAAAAACTAAATATACACTAACCGCTAATGGCATAAAAACAATAAACACAATACGCCGAACAGCAGCACGAACATGAGTCTGTGAGAGCAGATGAGCATGAATGAACACAGCAACATGAAACAAATCAGCAGCAACATGAAACAGATCAGCAGCAACATGTGATTTTTCACAGTGATTATCCTGGTTAGATATTCATGAGTCTAACAGCCTCATGGTAGAAGCTGTTCCTCTGTCTATTGGTTCTACACTTAATGCTCCTCAACTTCCTTCCTGAGGGGAGTGGGGCTAAAAGTGTGTGTGCTGGGTGAGTGGGGTCCTTCATGATGCAGGTGGCCCTCTTCCTGCATCAGGAGGTGTAGATGTCTGTGCGGGTGGGGAGGCTGACTCCAACAGACTATGCTACTTGAAGGGGCAGCTTGTTTGCTTGTAAGTGGCTGTTTGGTTTAAAATTAGTTTTTATGTAATTATTTTCAGTTTACATATCCAGTATACGTTTTATTCATTCAAGGCAGTCATATTTGTTCATAACTTTATTAATAGTAAGCCTGATGGTTACCGGATCCAATCAAACAGTTGAGCAGGGAGGCCCAGACATCTGGGACCTTGAGTACACAATTTCGTTCCACCTCATAGACCACATGTGATGCAAATGACGACAGTCACCTTGAGCCTTACTCATCTCTTTCCACTGCCACCTCTTGTAGCTCTAAGGTGTTCCCAGGACAGCATAGAGACATAGTCTCTCCAGTGTGTCCTTGGTCTTCCCGGGGTTTCATCCCAATTGGACATACCCAAAACTCCTCCCTAGGAAGGCATCCAGGTGGCATCCTTACCAGACACCTGATAGGCCCAAGATCTGTGATCAGTTTTGTAAATGAATCATCAGACTTTCAGCCACATGTCTTGGACACTGAACAGGAACTGAGTTGTCAACTGATCACCACCTGGTAATGTGTTTAGTTTGGTAGTGGGGGAGACCGCCTAATAGACCTGGTAAACCCAAACATGTAGTGAGGATGAACTGAGAATGTCTGGTGGAGACACTCTCTGTGTGATCTTCATCTCACATCTCCAGGAGAGTTTTTCACTTGTCCAGTGGCTGGTCGTGGACGTGGAATCTGATAGGGCCTTGTTTAGGGTTTCTCTTTCAGAAGATGCTTTCAGGAGCTGTGGCCTGAAGGTCATTGATGCTTGTCATGGCAGCAACCAAAGGATCCGCTGGTGCTCATGACTTTCTTGTTTGCAAGTCAAATATTTTTTCTCCTCAGGTTGACAACATTATCGTGCTGGCTGAATGGCTTGACAGCTCATTGATGTGGGCCATCGACAACTACAAGAAAGAAGCAAACAGCAAAGCTCTGACAGCTTATGTCTTATTTTCAGACAGGTGATATTATTTTTATTTTTTAAATAAAATTAATTTCAGTCACTGGAATGGGACCATTACGGTGATAGTTCTGTGTTTTCTCTACCATTTATTAACTGTGTTTTCTCTACCATTTATTAACTGTGTTTTCTCTACCATTTATTAACTTATGTTTAGCAACAGCATTATCGCAGACAAGTCGTCGGACAGGAACTGCGTAGTCCTGAAAAGTTTCAGTGAGCAGACACTGAGGTAAAATAATAAAATTTAAGATTGTGATGATGCAAAAAAAAAAAAAACTGATTGAACTACAAATGTAGAGCTTTTCACATTTAGTGCTTTTAAGAATGCTTTCATAAAGATGAATGATTATAGCATGCATAATGATTATATATATATATATATATATATATATATATATATAAATAAATTTCATAGAAATACGCTGGGAACTTTTCACTGAAATCAAAAATATTGTTCTGTTTTAAATCAGCTTCAGCATATTTACTCTATATTTATTTTATTTTGTACTTTTCACCTTTAGTTGGCTGCTTTCAGCTCTTAGCTAGACTGTTTGTGCCTTTAGCTAGTTTGCTGCTGTTTTTAGGCTCTTAGCTAACCTGTTATTGCCTTTAGCTAACCTGTTGCTCCTTTTAGGTTTTAGTTAATTTCAACAGTCATTCAGCTTTAACATTGTATTTCTCTAGTTATTCTGAGTAGCAAAACTTTTGAATTTGGATATTTTACAGGTGCCAATATAATAACTTAATCTCCGAAATTTCTTGTTATACATAATTTTCTGTCCATATAACAGAGCTAAACTAACTGAATGGAAATCATCATTTATCAGACTGAAAATACTGGTAGGTCTGGTTTTACCAAAAAATGGTAAATAACAGTGGTGGGTACAGCTAAACAAAAAGTTAGCTTTGCTAACCCATATTCTGCTAACTAAAAAGTTACCTTCACTGAACCACTAAACAGGTTAACGCAATAGCTAAAGCTAACACTAAACCGCACACCGCTAAGACAACTGTCGCTCAGTCTGCTTCACAGGTCTTCGTCTCCTTCTAGTTGAAGCTGCATCGACCAATCCTGTCTTGTCACATGTACACGTAGTAAGCCAATAGCGTGCCTAACGGACTCTTTGAGACACGCCCACAACAGACAGGAACAAGCTTGAGATATTTGTTTGCTGACAAAGTTGGCAAACCTTAATTTAGCGGAAGCTAATTCTGCTAACGGTTTCCAAAGTTGGCAAAAATGCTAATCTGCTAAACAAAATTTTTTCCCGCTGTTAGCGCGGATTAGCGTAACTGTGCCTATTACTGGTAAATAATAATAATTAATAATAATAATAATAACAATTATAATAATTATAATAATTAATAATACATTACTTTCTTTTTTCTTTTCCCCTAAACACGCGACCAGATTTATAGCAGAGCGTGGATCTTCCAGGCTGCTGGATCACGTGGAGCATCTGGACAAAATGTACAACATCAAACCTGATGGTGCTAAAGAACTACAACCTGCTAACAAACTTGTTTCAATGCCACCCAGCCCTAAATTAAGGTAAAGTTAATTTAACAGTAAAAATATAGCTACATCTTAGCAGGGAATTAATTACTGTAAATAACCCCTTTAACCTGAGCTTGTGCCTCTGTCCTCAGGTGGCGAGGTGTTCGAGTGTTCATCTCCTCCACCTTCAGAGACATGCACGCTGAGCGTGACGTTCTGGTTCGCAGCGTCTTCCCGGAGCTCCGCCGTCGCGCTGCGGCACACTGCCTCCACCTGCAGGAGGTGGAGCTGCGCTGGGGCGTGACGGAGGAGGAGTCAGAGCGAGCCGCCCAGCTGTGTCTGTCAGAGGTGTGTCGCAGCCAGATGCTGGTGGGGATCCTGGGGGAAAGGTACGGCCAGGTGCCCCCCAGACCTGTCCTCCCTGACCTGCCGCAGTACAGCTGGGTAAGATGCATGGACTGTGTGGTAAGACGCACCTGAACTGCAGAATATTGGGAGTTTTTTTTTTTTTTTTTTTTTTTCAAAATTCTGAAATTTTAAAATGTTTTTTTAAATTATTCAGAATTTTGAAAATTTTCTCAGAATTTTGACTTTAAGTTTAGAATTCTATTTTTTTCTCAAATTTTACAATTCTTACATTAAAGTCAGAATTTTAAAGAAAAATCAGAATCCTGAAATTAAAAATAAAATTCTAAATTTAATGTCAGAAATTGGACTGTGAATAAGATTTTTTTTTTTTTCAAATAATTCTACAAACAGAGAGTTCTGATGCTTTCAGTAGAACGTAGAGATTTTTTTTAGAAGTTTAATTTAAGAATTCCAATATAAAGTCAGAATTTTGATTTCAATCTCAGAATTCTGAGACTAAAGTCAGAATTTCAAGGAAAAAGTCAGAATTCTGAATTTAATCTTGAACTTTAATTTAAGAATGATGAGGGGAAAAAAGTCAAAATTTTGAATTTCAATTTTAGGATTTTGAAAAAAAAAGAAAGGCCAGAATTTTGACTTTAATTACTTTAGAGTACTAAGGTATTGCCTTTAATCTCAAATTCTGACAAAAAAGTTTGAAAAAAATAAAATAAAAAGCACAGTGGCCTTAATTCTCTTATTTATGATTGAAAATGCCTTGAAAAGCAGATAATAAATTTAGTAACCGCAAAATGTTTACAACTCGACCAATTTTACAGATATTGACATAAACCTTAGCATGGTAGTAGCTGAGAGTCATCCCCAACACATACTTAGGGAGCCAACTGATCACGTAAGATCTTCATTTCAAAATGGTGCTTTAAAATATTGGAGTCAGTTCTGTCTGTAACCACCTGGCCTCTATAACTGATCAACTTTTGGCGTCACACCTAATCAAGATGGCTGCTGAAGCTAATCTACATTAGTCAACACAAAAATGGCTACATCTTAGCTCTATTTGGCAATATTGAGCTAATATTTGATGTGGTACTTGGTCATATTTAACACACTTTCACAGATACCGTATTGGTCATAAAGACACAGTCTGAAATGAACAGTCTGAGTTTTACATTTAGTCTTTATTAATTAAATTAGTCTTTTAAAGCGCTAAAATAATCATGTTTATTTTTTTTCAATATTCAGCTGGCTTCGGCTCCGGCTGGTCTGTCCATCACAGAAATGGAGATCCGTCAGTTCCACGCTCTTTATCCCGACTCGGTGCAGCAGCGAATGTTCTGCTACTTCAGAGATCCAAACGTCAGCAAGTGAGCACAAAATCTAAAAACACGGATCTTTAGTGGCACAGACTGAATCATACAATAAGCACATTTTTGTCAAATCAAAGGTCATTTGATTGCTGAGTAGCTGTAATTAATATTTGTTTTGTTCAGATCGATTCCTGTAGCTTGGAGATCAGATTTTGCTGCAGAATCAAAAGAGGCCGAGGATAAATTGACGTCTCTGAAGAGAAGACTTTTGGACTGCGAAGTCAAAATCACTGAAAAGTGAGTCTGCTCTGCCGCATCACATTTAACGTGTGTAGTTCAGGACTTCTGACAAGTATTTTTGAAGAACTAGTCGGTCCTAAAGTACTTAATAAAAGTCTAATTGGAGCTGACATCTCTCTTGAAGTTATTTGTGTGAGTGGGGAGGCGTTGTGGAAGGAAAGCCATATCTGAAAAACCTGGAGGAGTTTGCCAAAGCTGTGCTGGAGGATCTCTGGGTGGCTGTGCAGAAGCAGTTCCTGGAGGTCGGTAACTCTGACAAGTAAAATGTTGCGGTTTCTTTAACAGTAAATAAGCTTTCTTTAGTCTTGCAGATGTTTTAATTGATATTTTCTCTGTTTGTCAGGAAGGCGAAGAGGCCGAGGCTGCTTCTGAGCTGTTGGAGCAGGAAGTGCACCAGGGGGCCCTGCAGAGGCAGTTCTTCGGCAGGGCCAAGCTGCTGTCCTCTGCTGTGGAGATGGTGGAGAACGTTCAAACCAAAGGAGGGATGGTGGTGATAGAATGTGGAGCTGGAGAGGGAAAAACAGTCTTTATGGTAAATTTAAGACCTTGGTTTATTTCGAGTCCAGATTACACTAAAGCAATACTTCCTATCTTATAAAGTGGGGTTTTGTGAATGGGATATGAACTATCAATAACTTACCTGTTTTAGATGGTTCTTTGAACGACCTCAGGTTTGAGAAACAGTTTAATTCAACCTGATTGACGAGCTAATGACAAGTAGTTTGAATGCAACCAAGACAAAAGTGGATAGCTGTCATCTTAAAATGGCTCCTTTCTCAAAAATGTCTTGGTAATTCATGTGAACGACATCTTATAAATGCCTACATCACTGGTAATTTTGCATTATATGATTATTATATAGAATTTTGTGCTTATTTGCTAATGCTATTAGCAGCAGAAGCACTTCTGATGCATCCTGGGCAACTTCGAGCAGTAATTTCGTAATATTTCTGCTAGAATAGTCATCAAATGGGCTGCAGACTTTCTAGTTAAAGTCAACAACAGGCTAGCTGGCTAAAGGAAGCAACAAAGCTAGCTAGCTGAAGGCAACAATGGGCGAGCTGGCTGAAGTAGTTTGCAAAAAACCCCCAAAAAACAGAAAACTAAAAACAGGAAACTGATAGAGCGAATGCTAAGTTAGCATTTACCTTTGTCGCTGCTTAAATGCTGCCATTTTTTTCAAATCGCCCTCTCTTGCTCAGGCTGCTCTTGCAGACGCACTCAGAACTGGAGGAAAGTCAAAAAGAGACCGCCGCTGTGACATCATCTCCTACTCTACAGCTGCCAGCCAATCAGCACGTTCGGTCGAAAACCTCCTTCGGTGCCTCATACAGTGGCTGAGAAAAATAAAAGACACTGAAGAAGAATTGCCTCTTCCACACACGTACAAGTAGGATACTTTTTTTCATAAGCTACCTTCACTACTGGTGGTTTCCAGCGATTTGTGCAGTTAAAAAACAAAAAAAACAATAATTTTTGTTTTTACCAACAGAGACCTGCTGGAAGAGTTTCACTCTACACTGAAAGAAATGAAGAAACCTCTGGTGGTGCTGGTTGACGGGGTGGATCTCCTTCAAGACGGCAGAGGACAGCTCAGCTCTGATTGGATCCCTCAGCTCCTTCCACAAGTCAGTAGCAGGATAATTAAAACAAAGCTCCAAGTTTATTACTAAATTCAGCATTTTAGAGAGTTGGTTTCTTTATTTGTCATACGCACCACATGTGGTACATGTGGTGGAACGAGATTGTGTACTTGGGGTCCCAGTTGCATCCAACAATAAAATGTAAAAGGAAAAACATTAAGATCTAAGATATGAACTAAGAAAAACATCAACTAAAAATATGCTAATCACTAGTAGCATAAAAACAATACGCCAAACAGCAGCATGAACATGAGTCTGTGTGAGCAGATGAGCATGCATGAACACAGCAACATGAAATAAACCAGCAGCAACATGTAATTTTTTTTTTTTTTCAGTGATTATTCTGGTGAGATATTCATGAGTCTAACAGCCTCAGGGTAGAAGCTGTTCCTCAGTCTAGTGGTTCTACACTTAATGTTCCTTAACCTCCTTCCTGAGGGGAGTGGGGCAAAAAGTGTGTGTGCTGGGTGAGTGGGGTACTTCATGATGCAGGTGGCCCTCTTCCTGCATCTGGAGGTGTAGATGTCTGTGATGGTGGGGAGGCTGACTCCAACAGATTTCTGTGCAGCCTTCACCACTCTCTGCAAAGCTTTCTGCAGCTGTGCAGCCTCCATGCCACACGTTGATGCTGGAGCACAGGATGCTCTCCACTGCACACCTGTAGAAGGAGGTGAGGACTGAGCTTCCCAGACCAGCTCGTCTCAGCCGTCTGAGGAAGTAGAGTCTCTGATGAGCTTTCTTGATCAGGCTGGTGGTGTTGTTGCTCCAGCTGAGGTTGCCATTTATGTACACCCAAGTACTTGTAACTGGAGACCACTTCCACCGCAGATCCTCTTATGTTCAGGGGTGGGGTAGGTGTGTTAGTTCCTTCTGAAGTCCACCACAATCTCTTTCATGTTCTTCACATTGATGTGAAGGTTATTCTCTCTGCACCAGCTCTCCAGGTGTTCCACCTCTTGCCTGAAGCTGTACTCATCGTTGTTTGTGATGCATCCCACCACCACTGTATCATCTGCAAACTTTACAATGTGACAGCCTGGATGGGTAGCTGGACAGTCATACGTGAGCAGAGTAAACAGGAGAGGGCTCAGCACACATCCCTGAGGGGAGCCTGTGCTGACTGTTATGGTGGAGGAGAAGTTGTGGATCCTCACTGACTGTGGTCTGAAAATTTGTTTTCACACTTTCTCAACTTTCAGATTTGGTGTTTTATTTAGTTTCTAGTTTGCGAGGTCCCTAAAATAAAATCTGGTCTGAATTAGAATAAATTCAGAAATGTTTATTTTATTTTGATGTTTACAGAACTGATTTACGCAACATTCAGCTGTTTAATAATAAATTATTATAAGTTTTAATTTGATGAAACTTTTTGTCTTCCTGTCAGGGTGTGTGTTTGGTGCTGAGCATCGGGACCAAGGCAGCTCTGTTGAAAACTCTGACCATGAAAAGCGGGACGCTCCTGTTTTCTCTGGGACAGCTCACCATGCTGGACCGCAAGGAGATCGTTCAGAAGGAACTGGACGTCTTTGGGAAGAAGCTCAGCGACTCGGCGTTCAACAACCAGGTTCTTCTGTCTTCTCTCTCATTTTTTCCTCTGGACTTTTTAAATATTTCCTTAACTTTTGTTTTAATCTATAAACTCTGCTCTGTGTGCAGCTCCAGACTTTGATAACAAAGAAAGGCGCGGCGAGTCCTCTCTATCTGCACCTGGCTTGTGAAGACCTGAGGAACTTCGCCTCCTTTGACAAGGTGCATGATTACTTCTTTAGCCACGTCCACACTGGTTTCACTGGTTGTACTTTGTATGGTTGCTGCATCTGAGTACATAATCTTGAAATATGATCACCTTGTGCAGATGATGGCAGACATTAAAGTGTTTTCTGCCTTTGTGTCTCAGCTGAAGGAGAACCTGCTGAGTTTGCCTCAGTCTCTGAGCCAACTGGTCCAGTTCAGCCTGGAGAGACTCTGCTCCCAGTACAGAGGCATGCTGGGAATCCGCTTGGCCCTCGCTGCCCTTACCATCAGCCCAACAGGTAAGTAAAATTGCTTTGTTATGACAACGTTTAGATTACATTTTTGTATATTTACCTATGTCCATTATCACTCCCAGATTTGTGACTGTTGTTTCTCAAACGAGGCTAGAGAGGAAAGGTCGATGCAGTGGCTCTTGATCGTGCCATTAGGAGACAGCATAACTTCAGTCTTCTTCTCATTGAAACTTAAGAAATTTAAAGCAATCCAGTCCCTGATGTCAGCCAGGCAGTCAAGAAGAGGCTGAACAGAACGTGCACCAGTGTGCTTCAGTGTGAAGTAAATTTGACAGTCATCAGCGTAGAAATGAAAGGGAAAGTTATGCTTATAGAAAATGGCACTTAGTGGCAGCAGGTATAGAAAAAAAAGAGAAGAGGACCGAGGAAGGACCCCTGCGGTACCCCCCCACTGAAGTGCTGCCGATGCTGAACTAAAATCTTTGATATCCTGATGCATGCTCAATAATCCAGGTAGAAAAATCTAAAAAAGTTGAATCTGGTCCTCTGGACATTCAAAAAAACAAA